CTATTACACTGATGGATTTCTATGAGAAAGAGGAAAAAAGGTAACTCACACCTGATTTGTAATTGCAGGAATTTAAATGAAGCATGCTTTTATGGCAAATAAAATCATGCATTTCTCCCCTTTAACAAACTCATTGAAGTATTTTGTAAAAATATTTGGAACATGTAAGAGTGTGCAGTGTTTCCCACAGATCGGAAATATACTGTTCGCCGGAACCTCGCAGCGGAGTTACTGCGGAGCGCATAAAGCAGACCCTTCACGCGATAGCAGAGCGAACAGGTACAGGAGGGGTAGTTAACCGATCGCAGATGGCGTCGTGCTCGTGGACGGATAAAAAAAGATAAAACCTAAATGGGTTTTAGGTTTATACTATATACTTTGGCAGACGTTAATATACCTGGGCGGCCCGCCCAAGTAAAGTCTATGTGTGGGAAACCCTGAGTGCGTCGACTCCACCATCATATATTTATTTACTTATGAATAAAATCCATTACTTACATGTCCCACCAGGACAACTGTAATATATTATATATATTGGACTCCAAATGGTATATCTTACGGTAATTGACTTCCATCCATTTCACTCTTGTGTTTAATATTCAAGGCAGGCATTGGCTTCCATTGATTGTAACTATTGTGTTTAACCTTATAGGGGCCCGATAATGCTTTTTAGGTTTTCCCTTTCCTGTAGTGTGTTATATAGGTTTGTGTGCATGTAAATGGTCTGCAAAGGCTAACATGTATCAATTGGACTCCTTTGTTTACTTCCACGACATAGTGACATCACTACGTAACATTTGTACTTCTTTTGGACAGTGCTCCAACACATTGTATGTGATAGGCTAATAGCAGCGGAACATCTGTTCAGCCGGTCAGCTAACCAATCAGAGCAGACTGGGCTCTGGTTTCAGACAGAGGGTGAAAAGAAGTGCTGCAGCACAGGCAGCATGAGAAAAATAAAGAGCTTGTTGAGCATTGAAAAACACAATTTTGAAACCTGAACATTTGCTTAATAGGGCCCTTGAAAGGCAGCCATTGGCTTATTGTGTTTAACCTCTAAGGCAGCAACTGGCTTCCGTTTATTTCACTATGAGGTTTGAATGACTAGAGAATCATTGGCTAACATCCATTTAACTATGGAAAGATAAACTGCCAAAGACCTGAAACTTGTTTGAGATGCTGTGAGTAATCAATCTCTGTTCGGAAACTTAGTCACATTTATTTGTTTTAAGTTGTTATGTTTGCATAGTTATGCTGCAGTATTCCTCGACAAAATTAGATCACTATTTGCCGTGCCTTAACGTTTGCTCACTGTTTGTTTCTTGGTTATGTTGTGTTGACAATAAAGTTGATTAATTCTGTTGAAGCGCCATGGAAAGCACAAACGTTTGATATACTTTATTAATCCCCGTGGGGAAATTGTTTCTCTGCATTTGACCCATCCTAGTGTTAGGAGCAGTGTGCTGCCATTTTGAACGGCGCCCGGGGAGCAGTGTAGGGAACGGTGCCTTGCTCAGGGACAGTTTGTAGCAGTGGCCGCAGAATAAATATATTAATTTAACAGTTTGGTTAAACCACTAAGTCCGACAACGCCACCCCGGGAATTTCACCCAGGGAAATGTGACAAGTTTTAAGTCACTAGGACACACAGGTTCGGTTACTCATGGAACAAGAGACGTGGTTCAATTATCAAAAATAGAACAGTTTATTTGTATACAATAGTAAAAATACAATTTATAAAAACAGTCACACAGGGCTATATCCAAAAGGGAGAACGAACAAGGGGGCTGAGGCTTACCAGTGGGGGAGAGGGTCAACGAATGAGTAGAGGGACTTGGTCTTGCCGGGACTTGAACTGGTGACCTTCCAGTTGCCAAGCCAAGTCCTTATCGACTTCGCCACCACCGCCCCCCAAACAGGAGCTCACAGCTCCTCTAGTCTGTGATAATAATTTAAAACTGACCAAAAAAACAACAACCATGATGGATTGCTCATTTCAAGTTTAAAGTCTCTTTAGGAGTATTCTATTTAACGATGCAGTACGAGAAAAGGAAACTAAAGGCTGAGTGGAAGGCAGTAAACTAAATACTGATGGTGATGTTACGTGATTTGTGGTTCATTAGTAGGGCAGGTCATTGGCACGGCGCTTTACTGAGGTCATTTGTGTCGCTATTTAGGTGTTATGAAAACAAATACAACATCAAGCGAGCATTCAAAAATCAAAGTAGAAATAAAGACTCCCAATTTGCATTATATTACACAACCACACTTAACATAACCCAATAGCATCCCCAAGAGTGTATTACCGGGGATATTTATAACGGGTACTGACTCATGAGAAGGTTTCTGGGATTTCTAACATGCTCTTTTTTTAATGACATGAGGGTGTCTTGCCATCTGTTTACTCCCTGCCTCCCGTTTCAAGGCTTATGAGACTAAAAGCAGAGCACACTGTGAGAAGGAACACCATGTTTATCATCCCCTAGATGTTCTTGAAGCTTTCAGAATACGCCAAAGGATGACAATCAGCTTCAAGGTTGAATCAGTCATTCAAAAAGCTACGTGCAGCTCTGACAGCAGACATCATATTTGCAGGAATGTTTACTGCTCTTGTTCTCATTAGGATGATCTCTTATTGTGATACAGACTTTTATAACCCTCACTTAAAGCCGTTTCCAGGTTAACGACCAGTAAAGCTCTTTTCACAAAGGTAACTGAAAAAGGCAGCAGGAAGCCCCAGGTGTGTCATATTAGAAAACGAATTGCTAACTATGGTGGTCAGTGTTTCCCATACATCGATTCATTTGTTGGCGGGCCGCCACAATTAAATATCGTCCGCCACAAATAGATCTCATTTTTTTTATTTCTATTTTTTATAACGTTTTTTTTTGGTGGTCTAATCTCTAATGGATAGTGAGGTGGGCTGATGATCGGAAAGTTGCGAGTTCAAATCCCGCCTGGAACACCACCACTAGTGTAAGTCGCTTTGGAATAAAGCGTCTGCTAAATGCCTAAATTGTAAATTATATTTTTGGGAGAATAAACCCCACAGATCCTCAACTCTGGTGTCTCACTCAACTCAACACAGAGCAACAAGAACGTTGTCTGCTACAGTTGCCATTAACTTGCATGTATTTTGTTATTTAAGGGGGGGGGATGCGTGGGCCGACCGAAATAGAATCAAATTCTGTGGGAAACACTGATGGTAATCAAATAAATAATCTTACTTCTTTAAAAAAAAGTCGCAAACATTGTCTGGTTCCACATTCTCAGATGGGATGATATGTTTCTTTGTCGTCCAAAACAGAATACTGAATGACTTTAAGGTCAGTATAAGATTAAGTTGGGCAAAATAAAACATTCAAAGCCGACCTTAAGCTGTTGATAATTACAATGGTATTTCTTATATACATTTTGCCTGACAAAAGGTCAATGTATCAAAACTTTGCTGCCTAATAAATTGACTTGACATTTAAAGATAAACAAATAATTAACATGTTGAATTGCCTTGTTTTGTTCGACCAACATCTCAGTCCAAATGTCCATAGTCTCAGTATTTAATTGATTGTTAGGCAACAAGTTTTTGCATTTGAGAAATGTTGACAGTTTTTTGGCATTCTTGCTTGAAAGTTTTTCTAAATAAACATGGATTATAAAAAAGTGAATGATTCATTTGTTGTCTAATTGTTGCAGCTCTATTTTGAATGCTGAGGCTCTTATGTCGATTATTTTCCCCATCCGTCTCTTCTTTTTTGTATTTGTTGTATTAAAAGACTACACCTTTAGAGAGAGACTTCAATTCACAATATTCCTCAGAAGAGAAATAACCACATTGCCTGCAGATAAAGACCTAAAGTAAAAGACTTCAAGCCAAATCCTTTGGGATATCTTACAGGAGCTTAAGACATGCTAATAAATACAATTAAAGAGATTTGAGAGAAGACATTAAAGACAACATGAATTACACTGTATGAAAATATTTTGGCGACATTGTTTATGACTTGATTTGTGTACCAAACAACTAGACATAGCGCTGTAACACGTCATAAGGTCTGGTGATGATGGTCATACTAGTTTTAGGTATAAACATGGGTGTCTGGTTTTAAGAAGAGGTCTGATTCAGCATCTTTATCCCAGAGCGGTCGAATGATGATGATGATGATGATGATGATGATGATGATGATGATGATGATGATGATGATGATGATGATGATGGATGCTTTGCAGAGTACATTTTGGCCTATTTTCAGTAACTACTGTATACTAGGCCTTCATGTTTCAGTTACCTTTCTAGCAACACTGCCAAACACTCGCTAGATCCAGATGCTCTGATTTTGCTCACATCCATTGTTAAACATCAACTGAATATTTGGCTAGTTTGGACTTTTGGTTGGACAATATGAGTAACTCTTGATTTGCATTCTTAACATTTGCAGGAGAAAATAGTTGTATCATGAATCACATTCAGAGATACATTTCAAAACTAGTGTTAGCTGGAAGAAGGTCCAATATGAGCTTTAAAGAAAATAAATGTTCTTCCAATTATGGACATTCTGCTAATTTATAAAAATGACTGAAAAAAACAGCCTATCCATCCTTGGTAGTAAAAGTATTTCCAATTTGTTTTCCAATTAGCTGTTGATATTTCTTTTGGGAGGGGGCTACAACTTTGTATTTGCCACTGCTGCATTGAATTGTGTGGCATTATATGTAATAATCTATTTACAGTCTATGGTGATAATGCATATTTGCAGGGGTTTCCATTTCAATGTCCTATTTCCTTATATGAATATGCACAAGTCACATTTGTATTATTTTAACAGGACAGGTGATTTATTTCAATAAGGTGCTTGTAGCTTGACTCATGATAACCTGCAGCAGGTCAAAAGTCATCCATCTTTCCAGTAGTTTTACAACATCTTGATCTCACACACACACACACACACACACACACACACACACACACACACACACACAGAGAGAGAGACACACACTCCTACCTGTCTCTGGGGTCGATCCAGCTGGTGCAATGGTTAATGTGGTCAACGTAATAGACTTTGCCATCAAAGTCTCTGGCCTCCTCCCAACCCTCAGGTAGTGGCAACTCCTTCCTTGGCATGTCAGGCGAGTCTCCATGTAATTAACTCCTCTCTACTCAAAATCATAACGAAGGGAAACCATCGCTTTTCTCTGTCATCATCATCAGCAACAGTATCAGCAGTTATTCCCAAAATTCCCGGTTTGATGCAGTTTGGATTAGGCCATCATAATAATAATCCATAATAATCCACAGATTAACAAGGAATCAAACCTAAAAAAAGGGGGGGGACTGTTAAAAGAAACTCAAGAGGATAAAAAGTAGTTCCTGCAGGCTGCGCATCAATTCTTATCTGAATCATCCGTAATATAAATAATAACGTGGCGCTATTTGACGAGTTTTTCCAAGTGCATGTTATTGCAACTTTTCCCTGCAAACTTTAAAGGTGTTTTAGTGATAACTTCTGAAGTTTAACAATTATCCGCGGTCCACAAAACACCAGCTTGTTTCAACAGAAAGGCAAGAAAGTCCTAAAAACCTCCAGATAAAACAGAAATAATAAAAGGGCTGGTAATGTGTCCAGGGCAGCGGTGTTTCACAGGGAGAACCGTCCCAAAAGAATTCCTCTAAAGTCCCCAAACTGGACTCGTTTCTTCTTCTCTCCGACAGGCCACCATGTTTAGCAGCAGTAACCGATGCTAGCCTCGGGGAAACAAACAGAGTAAACACCGCTGAGAGAAGAAAAGTAACCGCTGGATCCACAGTCGTTACAATCCGGTAAATCCTCCAGAAACTTTGTTCGTTATTTTTGTTTAGTTATCCGTTTAAAAGCCGGACAGGAGAGGAGCAGTGGCAGCGGCGGTAAAGTCTTTCCCCGAGTCCCGATGACTTCGGCCGGTTCGACCGCTGTCAAGATACAAACATTCACCACGACTTCCGGTTATTGTTTCAAAAATAAAATATTAATTGAGAGATTTGGTCAGCAAAATAAGACTTCCGGTCATACTTTTCAAATGCAGAATCAGTGATATTAAGTTACTGAGTACATTTAACTCAAGTACTGTACTTAGTATCATTTTGCGTTAACTTTTATACATTTTTCTAATAAAAATGTTTAATTGTTTTATCGATTTATAATTGTTTCAGTTTCGTTGTTGTGTAGTTTTAGACGGTTTGACGACTTGGTTTCTTTTAGATTCCTATGATATATTTATATCTACAAAAAAAATCAAATCAAATGAAATAGTGTGTTTTATACATGGTTTTATACCAATAGCCCACTTGCCTTCAAGGATTCGTGGATGAACAAACTTTTAAGGCAACACTGCCCTCTGCAGGTCAAAATGTAGAACTGCTTAATGGATCAACTTCATATTCAATAAAGTATGACTTCAGGTCAGTTTTACAGGATGCATTTCTCCAGTTGATTTAGCTGTAATAAAATAAAAAGAATATCCTGACAGCAATTTAGCCTCAACACTTTGAATATGACACGTTCATTTATAGGTATGAAAAGCACATGTTTGTTACTAGAGGCATAGTTTACGTGTTCAGCAATTCAAAACATATTGATTACATAAATGCTAAGATTAATTAACATTAACAATATTAACACAAAAAGATAACTCATTACACACAGTTCAACTGATACGAAAAACGTACCTACTTTACAAATAAATTAGCGCTTCAAATTTTGTATGAATATCTTTGTGAAAATCAGCAGTTTATCATTGAGAAGTATTGATTGTTTTCACCAGCTTCCATATCATGTGACTTAATTACTCCAAAGCAATGCAGAATTATATTACTACACTGAACCAGATGGATTCGAGACATTTCCAAATATTTAAACTTAAAAATGACAGAAATTAAATATTGAAATAAGCAAATAAATGACTTGACTCTAGATGGAGCACTTCACCTCTTTGTCTTCACATGACTTTAAAAGAGACAGTGAGGCTTTTACTGACGCTCAGAAAAACGATGGAATCTGTCAGGTCCACACTTTTTATACACGCACAGGTGCGCCGCATTTGAGGCTCAGTTGAGGACACCTCCGCAAGATGATGCCCCCTGCGGGAGGGACGGCCCTGATTCTACACTTCTACTCCACTACATTTTGAAGGTACATTCAGATTTTTTTGTACTAAACTTCATTAATGTAACACTCATAGTTTCTAGTTACTTTGTACATATAAAAACGCATAGATACGATGCAGTACGCTACTGTAATAGTAATTGGCTGCACATTGACAAACTACAACATGTAAATGCTCCTAAATGTATTTGTTAGTTATAAACACAGGATAAACTTATATCCAGAATAATGTATACATTATTTACAATATTAGCATACATGCTAATATTGTAAAAACAGCCATTGTGCATTCTGACAACTTTTACTTTTGATACTTGAAGTACATTTAGCTGATAATACTTCTGTATGCTACTTCTGCTTAAGTAAACATTTTAATTCAGGAATTTAACTTGTAGGCTAATTCACTTTTTAAAGACCCTAGTGTTTGTACTTTTACTTAAGTAAAGAATTTGATTAGCTACTTCTTCCACCACTGGTAATGACTGTGTCATTCAAATTGAAAAAGCCGCAGGTCAAAAGTAGGCGTAGTTTACAAGCTGCACTTGAACGCAGCATTCCTTTCCATTTTCTTGCGCGTCTCGAAACCAAAACAAGTAGAGCGAGCTTTGGTCACATGTAGAGAGAGCAGCGACAGCAGAGAGAGAAGAGGAAGAGGACGAATAGAAAGCGACAGTCAGGCTCAGCACTGTCCGTGTGAAGGAAGCCTTTCCCCGGGTCCGATCTCCGGTCGGTCCGCTCCACATATGGTTCTCCTCCGGCACATCTCCATCGCCCTGACCGCCGCCGTGGCTGCTCTGGGATCAGCTCTGTTCATCGCCCTGAACTTCTTCTACAAGAGGCGAATATGGTCACCACAGGCGGAGTACTGCACCATCAAAGAGGTGTGATAATATACATTGTGTTCATTCATGTTGTTTGGGTGTTCATTGAACTATGTAACTATGTTAGACTGATATAACATCTGACTAAAGACAAAGCTGCAGAATTCTGGTTATAAATTAGATGAGAATGATGATGCATTTCCAATTCAAGTAAATGAATGCTGGCAAGACAATATCGATGTATTTGCACTATAGGGAAAAGAGTGGTGAGGATGAAGATGATTTTGAGACGAAAAGAAAGGTGATGCTACCCATATAATAACTGACTTGTGAATGGTGTGATGAAGATGGACTTGATGATGATGATAGACTTGATGGTGATGATGCACTAGTTAAAAACATTTACATTATGAGGTTAGTGAAAAATATGTTCTCACATACTGACTAAAGATAACACTGCAGAATTCGTATGGATATGATGGTGATGGTGAAGAAGATGAGGGGGAAATTATGCTTAGTGAATACATGGCAGTGATGGTGATGATGAAGATGATTATAAGGGGGACAATAGGTAGAACAAAAAAAGAGAATGATGACGCTGCTCATAACTGTAACAAAAGTCAAACATATGACACAGAGTGATAATACTATTTGTTTAATTTGTTATGCAGTTTAAGTGTTCATTTTACTTTGAGGGGAAGGTTTTACACTGACTTAAGAAAACACTGCTGAATTATTATGGAGATAATTGAGATGGTGGTGAGGATGATGAGGGGGAGATGTTTAGTGAATACATGGCAGTAGTGGTGATGAGGAAGGTGTTGAGGGGGACAATATTAAAATAAATAAAAACAATACAACAAACTATTAAAGGGGAAAGGTGAGAATGATGATGATGATGAAGAAGAGAAAAATGATGCTGCTCATGTATTACTGACTTGTGAAAGGTGTGATGAAGATGATGATGATGATGATGATGATGGTGGATTTGATTATGGTAACACAAGTCAAACATATTACAATTGTGAGGTTAGTGGAGAAGAAGATAAATTAGTGTAGTGGTAATGATGATGAGGTGATTTTGAACAGAATTCATCTTGGTGGTGAAACTACTTTAAAAGAGGAAGGTGTAAAGATGATGATGATGATGATGATGATGATGATGAAGAGGTGGATGGAAATGAGAAGCAGTAGAAGCCGAGGAAGATGGCGATAACATAGGTGAGTGTAAAGATGAAAATGAAGTTCATTAAAAGATGAGGTAGTGCCATAGTGATGACGATGAAGATGATGAGGGGAATATGAAGATGATGAAGATGTAGCCCAAGGCTAGGGCTGCCACAGGCAAGAATCTGGCAATATGATTCATATAAGTATACAGCAGTTATAATTCAATATATTGTGATACATTAAGCAATATTCACAAACAAAGTGTATATTCAAAAACACATTTTAGATATAAAACAAAACACCTCCATATGCATGTAATCAGAGTACAAAAAAGTGACTTTGTTATGTAATCACAACAGTGGGATCTGCTTTTGCATTCAACATCCATCATGATAGTGCTACACTTATCTTTGCCTGTAAGTTATGAATTACATTAGAATCAATTCAGTTTCATAAAAACGAATAGAGTGATACGATTTTGTATCTATATTTTATTACATCCCTAAAATGCGGGATATTTATTTCCTCCCCAAATCCAACAGATCACTCATTGTGTAGATAAGCTGAGGCCATATTATCATGCACTGTGTTTGAAGTGCCCAGATGTGTACGTCAGTTCCACATCATGTAGTTGATGCCAATATAACTGTAGTGTGTTTCCTGCCGACAGAAACGAAACAGCCGGTGGGACTGAGGGTCTTAATAAATGACTCTTCAATGGAGCAATTCAACAGCAGCCTGGAAATCTTAATAAAATCAATTTGCATGCGTCTAATCTTGTTTCCCAGATTCAATCAGTGGCAGCGGCAGCAGCCTGTAATAAGCTCAGCTTTATCTGGCTCACTCTGTCTTCAGAGGATAATGTTGTCAGTGTCTGCCAGCAGCCCGCTGCAAAGAGGGGGCGTAAATGTTTTCATTCCTTTGGGAGCCAAATTGTACCATGATGCATTGTAATCACGTCTTCGGCCTCAGAAAGCAGGGGAGTTGACTAACGGCGTGTTTGTGACCTTGGGGAGTCTCAGCAGGTGGGAGGGCGACACATGCTCATTTACACAGCGACAAACAATCTCTGAGAGAGTGGAAACAGATTGAGCTGCCGAATAACTGTACCACCAGCCTTTAATGTCTCAGTCCATTCAGACTGTTATTTCTGCAGACTCATGCTCCAATGTGGATGAGTTGGCATCATTGTGGAGAAGGGGCCACTAGAGCACAGCTTAAATGTATAACCTTGCATAATATTAGCTCTTCTTTTTGCTTTTGGTCTACGGCAGTGAGGACACAAAGAACCACCTCCCACACACTAAGATCATGAAATACTAAAACAGTCTAATGAAATTAAACATTAACATTCAGGAGAGGAGAGAAAAGGTGATACTTTACACTGCGAAAAACAGAGCAGCTTCTATCAGAATACTATACAAAATCCTATGTTCGTCCCACAGCTGTGAAATGTACATTTTTGGAGAATTAGCGACAAATTGTAAATGGAAAGAAAGAAAATGATGTTAGGGGCATTACAAGATAATATCATTTGTGTATTATTAACATAATATCTCAATCTCAATCTTTATTTATTTATATAGCACATTTAAAACAACCTTCAGTTGACCAAAGTGCTGTACAGGCAATAACTACAATATGAAATAACACAATGGGAGTACAATAATAAAACAATCATTAAAAACATGATAAAAAGCACAATAACTAGAAACATATAAAAAAATAAAAACACGTACAAATATAAAAATGTAATGTTCAACTAGTATTAAAAGTAAATATCAACATAACATCTTTAAATATAACGGTTATGGTCAATACCGTACCGTAATA